AAGGAGGCGCCGAGGAAACCGCAGTGGTCGTAACGACCCAGACCAGAGCCTGACAGCTGGAGGGAGAGGGTCACCAGGGCTGCACCCACCTACCGATGGGCACAAACACACTCGGTGTGAGGTCCTGAAGTGGCAGAGGCCACAGACAGGAACACATGGACTCCTCGGTAGAGCACACCTGAGAATCAAGGTTCGTTCCAGGGAAAAGGAGAGCAGTCACCCCTTCTTCCGCCTCACGCCCTTCGCATCTCTTCCCAAGCCCTAGGCTGCGGGCAGGTTCCCTTTCATCATTCTGAGAACTTCAGAAGATGCTTCGTTTGTGCCTTTTCTTCTGTTCCATGTTTACACTCCACCATATCCCAGCCCCACTCCCCATCAGGCCAGCCCTGTCCAGTACCACAATCAGAAAGACACGCCAGCAGCGGAAGCCTTCAAGACCATGGACAGCGGCTCCTCAGGAGTGTAAGTGGCGGGGAGCAATCTCTCTCTCTCTCTCTGTCTCTCTGTCTGTCTGTCTGTCTGTCTCTCTCTCTCTCGCGTGCGTGCGCACAAGCAAGGGCAGTGCTTATCCTCCACGCCCTCCTATCACAGCCAGAGCTGGGATCTATGAGGCTTCTTACAAGGCACCGAAATTTCAAATAAATGCCAGGGGGCACGTCCTTGTAGGGAATCTGGAGGGCTCTGAAAAATCCATATACCATATGTAGTTGCCTGTTTTATGTAACAATATGTTTTTCTGTTTCCGCTGCTTTTGTCATTTAAAATGACTGTTCTCTGGACAGCTGTGGGCAGGGTTCTTTCCTTCTGGGCCCTCCATCAAGTCTAGTAAATTCCTACAAGTCCTCCCGCCAAGATGGATCCCTCGGGGTCAGAAGGCAATTAGATGTCCGGACGCAAGGAACTCTCTGGCTACACAACCATGGGCCCAAAGGGAAAAGGGAAGGAGGTCTTTTCCATCTCAGCCAGCCATCCGAGGGAGACATCAGCTCCTGAATGGCAAAGAGGACAGCTGTTGGTGAGAGGGTGGGGGAGCGAGGAGGCAAATTTCACAGCATAACAGCCAAGAGAAAAACAAAAAACAAGAGAAGTGTTTCATGTGAAGGCTGTCTCCCCTAATGTCACTAAAGTGGAAAACTCTATATTCTGCAATTCACTCACCCTTAGACAGCTGTTCATGCTCAAGTCAGGAGATAGATGAATGCTCTGGAAGTGGGTGGGGGGATTTCTCCTGAGCAGCCTGGATCTCAAGGAGCCCAACCAATAAATGATGTATGTGGGGACCACAAAAGGGGCTCCCTTCCCTAGCTCTTAGAAGGCCAATTCCCTTCCTGTACAGCCAACAAGGACATAGCTAAACTGCTACTGCAGTGTGACCCAGGCCAACCTCACAGAAGGAAACCAGCACGGTCACTTCCAGCCCTCAGGGCAGACAGGATCAAAGGAGTACGTTTGGGAGAACCCAAACCACTGAAGACACCTTGAATGGACCAGGAGAACTGGCATTTACAATCTGACAGGACCCTCAGGTTCCTGTTTCCTTGTTACCAATGTTCTGGCTGAGGCTCTGTAATGCATTAATCTTTGTAGATGAGTGATGCGGTTTAAAATACTGCAGAGTTTGGCTGCCGTTCCCTCCCGTGGGGTCTCAAAATAACTCCACACAAATCATTTCTGCTAAACACTCACTCAGGCAGCTCGTCCCCGCCGGAACACACACATCTTATGTAACTGAAGGAGCCACCTTGCCTGCTGGGAGAGGAAGGCGTTCCCAGAGGGCGGCGCTGCCTGCTGCCCGCCAGGCTCTGCACCCATCCCCGCTCCCGGCCCACGGGTGGGCACACAGCCTGGCGACCGTGCCCAAGCTCCTTCGGCCAAAGAGACCCGAGACTCAGGTGGTCACTACAGGGAAGGTCATCCGAGTCAGGGCTGCCTAAGAAAGAAGGGCCGCCTGGACATTCAGTGAGCATTTAGTGAGCTGAAACAGACTCTGCTAGATTCTGGAAAGCAATGAGGAGGTGAAAGCACATGGCGCCTCTCCTTGGAGGACGCACACAGTTCAGTGGGGATGACAGGCGCATACACAGACTAACACAACATACAGGAGGGGGAGAGGCGCTACCGCACACCTCTCCTTAAGCACTCTGAAGCCTCCTCCCAAATCTAAGGAGTGTGCCACACACGCTGACCTTGGCTTGGTGTCTCCGTAAACCCTCTGTCCTGCCCGCCCCTCCCCATTAATCCAAGTCTCAGCTCTCAGAAGCTCTCCTCCTGACCGCTCCTTAACCTCGCGGTTTCACAGCTGCTTCCTCCTCCAAACCACACTCCTAGGCAATCCCACTCACTCTTCGTGCTTTACATCCCATTATAAACTGGTGACTCTCAAAGTTTTCATCTTTGAGATGAAACCAACCTTTCTGCTGAATTCAGCTGGAACTGCAAAAATCCATAGGCATCTAACATTCAAGGTCTTAAAAGCGACCCAATAACCTTCTCCTTGCAAATGTTCTATTATTTATCAGCTAGAAAAGTGAACTGTCTTCTCCCCATCCTCTGTTATCAAATAGCCAACAACATTGTAGACGAGAGCCCTCCTAAACAGACTCGTTCTTTCCTCTTCATTCCCACTCTGGAGCCTAGTTTAGGCTTCCTCCTATCCAAGCTTCCTGACTTCAGTTTGGATCCTCCCCATCTGGTCTTCGTAGTGTTGTAAAAGTAATTTTTTGAAAAATAGATAATGCAACAAAAAAGGAGGGACTTCCACAGTATCTAACCACACAGATAAATCTCAGACAAAAGCTGGGTAAGATAAAGTTGGGTAAAACAAGATTATGATTCCAGGCATGGAGTCCAAGACAGGCAAAGCTAATCTATGGCCACAGAAGTCAAAATATGGGTTATCTTCAAGGGGCAGGCCACAAAGAAGCCTGCTGGGATGCTAGAAATATTCTATTATCTTGATGTGGGTAGTGGTAACTTGGAGCTATATGTGTATTTTTATAGCCATATAAAAATTAATCAAGCTGTATATTTAAGATGTATGTATTTTACTATGTTAACAGTCATACGTAAATTTTAGAAAAATGACATAACGTGTAACTCATCATTCATTGCTTCCTGTTACCAATCTTGGGAGTTCCTAACCTGGGGGAGGTGGGGCATGGGGCAGTGTTAAGGACGGGCCAGTGGAACTGAATGAAATCTTTGTGTGGACACGTGTTCTCTGAAGAGAAAACTGATAGCCCTCTTCAGATTCCTCTTTCACTAAGAATGCCCGTGACTCAAAGTCATCATAAACTTCTCCATGAGGTAAAATCTACACAGCCTTGCAGACCCAGGGCCCCTCAAAGACTGAGGAATCTGCCTTTCCAAACTAATCTGTAACCACTGTCGCTCTTACAGGAGACATAATATCCATATGAAACTACCTGCCATTTTGAGTAACAATGTTTTGTTTTGTTTTTACAAGCTCCCTCCTACCCACCACCCACTTTCTTGGCTTCCACCCTTTTTCTCATCGCCGTATCTGGCATTTTCTGGAGAGAAGGCCTACAGTTTTCTCAGATGTAGAAAAAGGCTGGTGTTCACCCTCATGAGCAAAGAAACTGAGCTACAGGGTAGGGAAGTGACATCTAAACAACTCAGCTGAATCCCAGCCATTAAATCTCACTGCAAAGGATGGCCTGAGCTAGACAAAAGTGCAGTGAAGACTGTTGAAGGAATGAATGAATCAGAGCACTTAAATTCATTGCTTTTATGATGAAGACACTGAAGACCTGCTTACCTAATATATATCAGATGAGAGAACAATTACAAAAAGACTCAATGAAGCAAGAGTCAGAGGTCAAAGTTAACAAGATAACACGGAAAAGGGGTAACATCCAATGGTCAACAGTAGATTGGGGTGGGGGCCATGGTTTAATCTGAGTTCATGCATAAAGGACCTAGAAAACACGTGCATTGACTACAACTCTGTAACACACAGAACCTCAAGGAAAACTTGGAGAAGACAATCACACTGCCTATCTTTCCCAGGTTCCCAGCCTAAAACACAAAAGGAGATGACCGTAAGGACATTGACATGCGTCATGTTAGCATTCACAGAATCACATTTACAGCTGGAAAGAACCTTAGAAACTGCTGATTTTTTTACAGGGGATGGGATGGGAAATCAGAGAAGTTAAATGACCTACACAAGGTCACCTGCCAGTTTGGTCAGCAGGCACAGATTATAAGTCGTATCTTTTGACAGCCAGTTGAATCCTATCAGCTCAGGCTGAATGCACCTCATCTCACCCACGTTGCCCAGCGTCCTGGTTTAGCCTACGGGAGTGTTTTTGGACGTCTTTTCCTGAGTGGACAGATAATCTGATGGGCTATGCTGGTGTTTAGAAAAGATACTAGGAAGTAGTTGGCATTATCATAGCTAGGTTTACATCTATTTGAAAGGTTTTTTGACATCTATTAATAACAACTACCGTAATTTGAGTGCTAACTTCTTTCTGTTGTGGTTAAGCACTGGCTTAAGTACTTCTGAAAAACTTTTATCATGCTATTCAATACACAGAACACTCCTAATTTACAGATGAGAGAACCACAGCAAAGACAGGTTAAATAGCTGGTCCTAGGTAACAGGGTTTATAAATGGCAGATTCAGTAGTTGAGCCTATCCCTCGGAGACAGAAACCTGTATTTGTTATGAATTCACTAAAGTGTTTCCCTAAATTCACAGACTATTTCACAGAATCCCAAAACTGGAGTCATTAAGAGATCCTTGAGATTATCTTTGTCCACTTCCATCATTTTACATTTGATGGAGTGAAGCCAGCAGCACACACCAAGCACTGTCTCTTAGAACACTTTCTTTTTCCTACATGCCTCCGTGCTGCATGAGACTACAGGTTCTGCCTGGATGTGCGGTAGAAGAACATGCTCTGCACGCCCTCCTCCCTCTCTGGTTTAAGGTGCTCACGGCGACAGGCTAGAGAAACGGACAGGCCACAACGACGCACTTCCTAGGGACACAGAGGTCAGATAGGTTGAACAGTAGGTCAATACCCCACTGTGTACAGAGTTTCTACCATGTCCCAAGTGTCAAAGCTCCAGACAAAGAAACAGTCGCAAGGCAATGCAATGACAATGTGGTTACAAGGATCACGCAATGACAGAGGCAGCAGAGGATGCCATGGGAACACAGAGGGGGTTAAGGCTTTGTAGAGGAGTCAACCCTAGAGATTGCCCTTCAAGAATAAACAACGACTGGCCAGAGGAACACACATCGAGCAACAGCAGGGGCTTCTTCACTGATACTCCCATGTCCATGCCGGCAGAAGGCTGCTACACAAGGCAACTGGGAGGGCGGAGCAAGAGCAAAGTCCTCGACAGATGTGCAGGGCTCTTGAGTTCCTTCTGAGAACCGCAGCCTGGGTCAGGATATATGTGAGAGTGGATGTATTAGCCCTCGGAAAGCACAATGCCACACCTTCCTACTACACTGACTTCTAAGTCAGAAAAAGTACTGGCTGATTAGCAAAGCAGGACTGCTTCCTATGCATTCTTTCTCCCAACAAATTTTTATAATTTCAGAATCAAAAAAGGTAAGAATGACTCCAACACCGTGTGCATATTTACTATCTAAACGCAGCTTTTCATGATATCAGATTTCTTTTTAGTTAAAATTATGATCTATATGAAAACCACAGCTATTATCACAGCTCTCTTCTTCCCTCTGTCATTGTCTAATCACCAATCCTCTGCAGAGAAATTCAAAGGGAGCTGAAAGTAAAAAGTGGACTCCTAATTGGTTAGCATTTTAAGAAATCTTTAACTTCCCACTATTAAGGAAACAGCTTTTCCTCACATTACATACATCCATCAGGCACCAGTGACTGCAGGTCTGTGTTACTGAGACAACTTTCAAAACCAAGAGCAGAGTGGGTTAAAGGGGGACAGAGATATCTGATTGACAGGAGGTTACATTTCGTTGGCAGAAGAATAAAGAACTTGTCTCAATAGAAGATAGGAATTGAAAAGCTTAAAATATTCTTTTAAAAAAAGAATCATTGTTCTGACATCCAAAGAGGACAAATCAAATTGGTCTCCTCTGAAAAGGAGAAGGAGGAAATGGTGGAGTACTAAGTGCCAGTTCCATCCTTAATTAAGCTTTGTGACCTTGGCCAAGTAACAAGTTTTCTGAGTCTCAGTGTTTTCACTTGTTAAATGGCAATAACAATAGCCTTTCCTACCTCACAGCGTGGTCATAAGCATGGGGGGGGGGAAGTACATGAAAACACTGAAAAGTATGTATTATTATATGAGTTTATCCTTTTAGAGGATAATTGTCCTGATATAGTTGGTGTATTTAACCATTTCAGTATATTTAACCATGGTCGAAAATCACTGCTTGATGGCAGATCCAACGACCCCCAAAATACCACTGGAACTCTGGCCAATATTTTTAGGAACTTTTGGTTTCCAAGCAAATGCAGAGTTACCACACCAAGAAGTAAAAAGATACTACAGGAAAAGTACAACATAACACTAATGCTTCTGAGTATAAAGAGCATGGCAGGAGTAAGGATCCGCCAGGAGGGGCAGGGTGCTGATTAGGAAGAAATGGCCTCATCTCCTAGATGCCAGGACTTATTTCTCACTGAGGCTGGTGAAGCATGAAGAACAGACAACAGCTGGGGATTCAAGAAGGGAGTAAATCAAGCTGCTGTTACTTATGCTCCCAGAAAGAAACAGCATGGATGGCAACAAGTGATAATTACATGAAAGCAGAAAAGATATTCTTTGCTGATTTTTCCCATTGTGATGTTAGCACACTTTCCGCCACCAGCCTCGCTCCTACCACTTACTCGTGCATGGGCATTGGGCAGCACGAGAGCTCTCCTTCTGGATGATCCTGCTGGAAAGGAGAATGTCGACTCCTCAAGAAGGAAAACTATTTTCCAATGTTCCCATCTTCCTTCTCCAACACTGCTACCAACGAAAAGATCTCTCACTCGGGACTGTGCACCACCACCTGGGAGCGTCGGGAAAACTGTGGGGGTGCGTTATTGATGCTTCCAATGTTTCCGCTGGGAGAAGGTGCTAAGGCATTCGGGAGGGAGCTAAGATGCTAAATATCCTGCAATTCAAGGGAAGTCCAGACGAAAGAAAAGTGCTACCCAAAATGCCACTATTGCCCCCTGTTGGGAAACAGACAACTCAGCCTCACCTCCCGAGACTCCCTCACCCATCACCTACTCTCACCCAGAGCGAGCAACCTGCTGCACCAGGCACATGCTTTGCATCTCAGTTTCCAAGCTAGCTGCCTCTGTCTCCTGGTTCAGGTCAGAACATAATGATTTTGGCCTACGGCTGCTGAACAACTTAGAGAAAAATAGATCAAATGGAATGCAATCATCAGAATATGCTAAAAAGTAGTTGTAGATTTGACATGAGTTCTAAGGAGGAAAATACACTCTACTCCAAACTTTTCCATAGACTCCAAGAGATCACAGTGTCATTTGAACTGATGCTTAAAGTAGGTTTGGCTCTGAGTTGGGAGCAATCTCTTCAATTAAGGTCAGCTGAGAACAAGCTATACCAAGGGGAGGATATAGCTCAGCAGCAGAGTATGTGCTTAGCACACAGAAGGTCCTGGGTTCAATTCCTAGTACTTCCACTAAAAATAAATAACCGAATTACCCCCCCCCCCAATAAATAAGTAAAATTGTACACGAAAAAGTTCTTACCCTCCCCAAAACACAAGCTATGCCAGAGAGCAAGCTGTGGAGCTCCAAGTCCGTGGGAGGAAGTCCCTGCTTTACCAAGAATACAGCTTGCAATCATGATGATGTCACTCCACTTTTTTGTGCCTCTGCTTCCTCATCTGTAAAATGAGAAGCTAGGGAGTTGCCAACACTTGCTCCAGAGAGGCTGTGGAAGCTGCCTGCAGGATGGGGCTGAAGAACGAATGAACACGCTGAGCTGGATGGAGTTATCCACCCTGTGACCCAGCCTTCCAGGAATGGCATGTGCTAGCCAGAACAATGTTAATAACAATCACATTAAACAAACAAACAAAAACATAGGAAATCTGGGACTCCTTGAAGCTAGAAAACCAATCCAAGTCCCACCTACTGTTTGCCAACAGGCTCGTCTACATTTGATAAAGATTATTCTTTGTCATTTGGGGAAATCTGCTCTGTGTGTTTTCTTCATCATAGATGGATGATACTTTTTGCCAAAGAGATCTGAGGCCACAGGAATGGAAATGCAACAAGTCTTTGCACATGTCAAGAGAAACATACACATATGTACAAAGAGGCTGGTTCTGCTCAGCCTCAACTAAGATCACGTATTCTTTAGCAAACACTTCTGTTTGATTTGCAGTCAGCTTGCTTACACAGCACTATTTGGGTTTCAAGACTTAATTTATTTGACTATATTCATTCCCATTCCCCAACTTCCTTCAAGCACCGCAATTCGAAGTAGTGAGAAAATCCATCAAGTTCCTTAATGCAAAGAGTACTTCGGCTTTACATTAGAACTCTGAGATTACTTTTTCTTTTAAATAATAACAGGAAAAGGCATAAATAATGTGCACCAATGTAGTTATCCTACATTTATACTCTCTTAATAAATCCTAAGAGTTAATCAAAACGATCCTAATATGCTGATCAAATCATTGCAACTCACAGGTTACATAATGAGAGCGGTCAGGCCAACCAGCTCTCAAAGGGAATGCTAAGAAAGGCGCCCTTTCTGTTTCCAAAGGGCAACACTATTGTTGTAGGATGCCCTGTTTGTTGATTTCAGCTAGCTTGGTACCATATACCCTTTCTCTTCCAAGTAGGTCTCAAAGGCCTGGTAAGGAGCGGACATTGGCATTTGCACTGATTTATTTTGGTTGAGAACGGACACATAGGAAATGGTAGAGAGACTTGTTCCAACCCAGGCAATCTTTCTGCTTTCATAAGCCCAGAAAGATACTAAAAATGAAGCAACAGAACAAACAGTAGATGATGATGTCAATAGAAGAAAATGAGGCTGATTAGACAATTTCACATGGCAGAAGTGGTATTTAAATTTTGGTTGTGTTGGTTTTAGGTTTTTCCTTCTTGAAAAGGAGTTCTTTTCGCACGTGTTTGGTACAGTGGCAAACACACAATCAAAGAATTTAATTTTTATTTGTTTTGCTATCACTCCTAAGGTTTCTTCTTGTCTCATGTTTCAGCTTGCTTTTCAAGCAGCTCAAAATGAAGATGTCTGAATCCAGACCTCATGATCATGTAGCTTCATTTGTTTGAAAGAAAAAAGAAGAAAGAAAGAAAGGAGAAACATAAGTAAACACAATAGTTCATAGTTACTGTATGAAAAAAAAAGGCCACTGATTGACTATATCAAGATTTTAGAAATACACTTAGATACTTGGGCAATAGGTCACAACTCCATGCTTCTTAATCACTCTAGCAGGCAGTTTAATTCTGCAAAGCAGGCAGGCACCTACTTTACATTATCCACAAATTCAGTAACTATCTGGATAGAATGCTACAGCTGTGGAAAAAACCTGGCCACAGGTTTGAGGGGGTTTACATGGTCCGAAGAACAGGGATGCATTTAATGAATGCCCTCTCTTGGCAGGAAGAAGGAAAGCTGACTTTTTATGGTTTGAGGCACCTCTGTCTACACCTCCCAAGTCCACTAGGGAAGGAATGGACACATCTGGCTCTAGAAAACTCTTCTCCAAGACCTAACTTCTCTTGGGATTCCCCTAAGCTTCATTCCAGGATGTTTCTGGACAGCTGGCAGGCTAGAATTGAACCTTGCAGAAGTTGAGCTTTCATTCCAATTTCACTGTAACACTGCAGCATCTGATCTAATCCCTTAAAGGCTCCCTGAGTCTGGTCCTAATCCCCCTCCTAAAATATAACTCAGAGGAGATGTGAGTATAGATGGCAACATGGTCTATTTTTCTGCACAGATCAACACAGAAGGATCATGGTGAATTCAGCTTTAATGTCTATTTTCTTAGCAACTGATACCCCTGGGGCTGTAGAACAGAGCTAAATGGAGTAAGTCATATAAGCAGGCTGATTTGATTTCGTTATTAATTCATCTTTACTTAACCTTGGCTGGGGCCTCAAAAAAAGTTATGATGCTCAGCAAAACTTCTGCACTCCATCCCATTTTCTAGATAACTGTAATAGGATGTTTTCTTTCTTCTTCTACTAGAGATTAGTGGTTGTAATCAGGAGCAGTATCAACCCCCAAAGGGAGTTTGAAAATAGGCGGGGAACATTTTTGGTTATTGCAATGGCTGGAAGGAGGGGAGTGGCTCATGGTACTTAGTGACGCTCACCTGGGCAGCCCCACACCACGCGTCTCACAAAGAGCCTACGCCCTGAGGGTATATGAGGATCCATTCTAGAAAGTGGTGAAAAACAGGGTGCGTCTGCCAACAATCATGGTATTGGCACAGATCCTGTCATGTGGGACTGGAAAAGGAGGAAGCCACAGAAGCAAAGACCCTATTGGCCCTTCTCTTCCCACCCAGGCAGTCCCAGAGGACAAACGCGAGGCAGCCAGAGGGGCAGATCGCTTTCTACTTCCCTCTCCACCTGAGTGGGAGCAGATAGCAGACTGGGGGGGGGGGGGGAAGAAACTCGAGGAAGAACATGAACAAACTCCCCTGTTGGCTGATGTCTGCCAAGTACTGAGATAAAATGAAAATCTACACTCACAACATGGCTGCCAACACACCTTTGTAGATCTCCACATCACAGGCCAACACTGTGGCTATTGGCTGGAATGCATCCATCAGCAAGTATTTACCAAGCACTTACTATATGCCAAGCATAGCGGCACACATTAGCAATACATACGTTGTGGAGGGGTGGACAGGACACACTCGAAGGCCACAGTAAGAACTCCAGCTTTTACTCTGAGTGAAATGCAAAGCCACTGCTAGAATGGCAACCGGGAATGTATAAATACACAGACAGCTACCTGTGTAGAAATGTGTACATAAAAATGACTGCAACTTTGTCTGCTAGGGACAAACAACTCAGTGGTATCCCCATGACCATGAAGCAGAGTCCCCAGGGCCACTGCCTGCCCCTGTCTAGGTACTGTTCATCCCATTTCCTCACAGAACCAGGACAGGGCAACCAGCAATGTCTGGGGAAGCTCTGGAGGGAATCGCCCCCACCTCCTCCTGAACTTGTGGGCAGCTGCTGTTACAATCACTACCATTCTAGGATGGTGTTAAATTAGCCAGTTTAACAACAACAACAACAACAGAGAGCCCCACACAAATGTAGCTTCCAACGGTACATTCATTTTTATTAATTGGCTCATTTAACACTGCCGTAGAACTGTAGTAAGATGGTAATCAGCAAACACGCCAGTGTGCTGCACACTGTCTCCATCCCCGTACCCTCAACTCACACCTCTGGTCTGATTCCCTGCGTGTGCAGAGCATCCAGGTAGCCAAGAAGTTCCAGTCTGTACCCCTGCATGCTGCCTCTGGGATGCTGAGCCTAATGCATTTGGGACAGGCTAGGGGAAGGTGGGAGGGGCGACTGTGGTGGCCAGAAGCCCTGCTTGCCTCTTTCACAGCAGAGCAGACAGAGGTCCGGAGAACAGGAGAAGGCACTCTGGATACTTACGGATGGAGAAAACGAGGTAGAGTAGCCAGTCTAAGACAATGAGTTACATTTATCCAGGGGCTTCACACAGACTTGAATCTCTATGGGAAACTGGAACCCCAGGCTGACGGGATTGTTACCATGCCCACCAACCCTGACACTTGAGGAGTAAAGGGCTTCAGGGTTAGTCCTGTCCTATTTCTTCTTCTCAGAGCCACCACACATGGCCATGCTGCCATGCCCTGATTAATTCCAGGTGTGCAATTTACACAGCCAACTGGTATCAGTATCCTCATCTAAGAAATAGGGTGAAAAGCTAAAATGCATTATAGGGTTATTATTCATGTTAAATCAGATAATTTACTATTTAATAAGCACCTACCAGTGTTGGTACACAGTTAAGTGCCTACTACCGTAATTCAGAATCCTTTTTGACCTCAACCCCTGCGCAGCAAAGACCAGTGTGATTTGATAGGGAGGAAACTTCTAAAAGGCAATCTGAACCTTTGATCTGGACTGGACTGGCCTCACACTACTGGCCTTTCAGCAGATTCTGGGGTCTCTCGGTTCACCGTGTACCCTCCTGTCCACCCCCCAGCCTTTAACACAGATGCCTGCACGAGCTGCAGAAGCAGCCGAACACTTGCTGATCACAACCCAATTAACTGCAGCCATCCTCTCATCACACAGTTCTTAGTAAGAATCCTGAGCAATCCTTTTCTGGATGATCCTCTGACTACACCACCAAGACCGGCAAGGACAAGCCCATGATCTTGCTGCTGTTTAAAAGGTACAGGCCAAGTGGAACAGATACAACAGCCTTCCATGGAACAGGATGGTCAGATGCAGACACTTAGGAGGTCATATTCTCAGTCCCGGTTTTAAATCGAGATGGCAGCTGTGGCATCAGAACAAGATGAGGGAACGAGTTTCAATTTGTCAACGGCATTTTCACAATGAAATGGCCGTCTCATCGGCTGCCACCTACGCAGGACCAGTGCCTCAAGGCTGGGGCTCCACCAGGACAAGGCTCCACCAGGATGCTGAGAACCTCAGCAGGAGAGGACAGTGTATTACCACTGGGCCCAGACACGATGCTACACTGTGTCCTACACTGTGTGGTCCTACACTGTCACCTCTCCATTCCGTTGGCTCAGAAGCAGCAGGGACAACGTGGTTAAGATACCTTTGATGAAAAACTATACCTGGACTTACTTTTAGGGGAGCTGGGGGTAGAACTATAGGATCATGCATTTTAATGACGTATTTCCAGTTCCCCTGGCTGCTCAACAATGAACAGACTGGTAAATGCTAGGTTTCTATATGGCCTCTCATGTAGAGTTTCCTTGTTCAGGGAAATGGTCCTTATTGATTTAAGGCCCACTATGAACTCAGCAATATTCCAGGTGCTACGTTTCCCTCTATCACAGCACATGAAGCAGAAAGAAATCCCCACCTTCATGGACCTTACATTATAAGTAGAGGGAAAAGATATTAAACAAGTAAAGTGTATAGTGTGACAGGAGGTGACAAGTGATACGTGGTAAAATAACCAAAGTAAGGGAGAAAGTGCCAGGGAGAAGTTGCCCCCAAAGCACACACACGTGCACAGACACACACGCACCATCAAAGCGTGTGGAGTGGAGCGCTCAGGCCGGGGATGAGGAGGTGACCTGTCCCAAGTCATGGTTTGTTCCCATCATCAGAACTCAGCAGCAGGCCAGTCATGGTCACTGGCACACCAGGACACATCCACCTGGACTCGGCTGATGCTCCAGGCCCTCCACGGGGCTCCTCCTGGTCACTCTTTCTCACACAAACTTCCACCTTCTATAACCACGTCCTCACTATGCTACCTTGAAAATTTTCGTCCAATTTAGCAAGCACACCATCTTCTCCAAATGGACTTGACACTCTGATGGGTGCCACCTGGGCTCAGCATTGCAGGAAGCCCTCAGTCATGGAGGAAGGAGACGGGAAAAGAGACCTCGCAGATTACCCTGTGAAAATTTTGTACACTGCTCTGCTCATTCAGCATGCACAGACCACGTACCTGCTCCACCCCCAGCACTGCGCTGAAGACTGGGCACCCAGAGAAGAGTAAGGAATACACAGGCTAGTGGAAAAGACAGACATGTCTACACAGATAATCTGGATGCTACACTGAGGTTTCCTTGAGAGTACATACCTAAGCTGGGCTTCTTGGGGTGAAGGGGTGACGAGGAAAGGAGAGAAGGGGCCAGGTACTCCAAGCTGGGAGAGCACAATGTGTAAAAATCCCTCAGGCCAGCATGGCTGGTTCTGGACATTTCAAATGCCTCTGATCAGGAAGAGGGCTTGGTGGGGGTGCAGTGAAACAAAGATATAAAGATGAAGAAGGCTCAGATCATGAAGAATCTTAAATGCCTTACTCTGAAGGCAAAAGAACCACTGAAAAGTTATAAGCAGAGGAAATGCCATGAGCAGAAATGCATTTTAGAAAGGACTCTTATAAGGCGGAGAGACCAGAAGGATCATGAGCACACAAGCAGGAAGATTCATTAGGAGACTGGAATCCTGTCTGGGAAGGAAGATTAGAATGAACAGATTCTACAAACTGTGCAGATTCCTGATAATGCACCCAAGAAATGGGATGGGTGTTGGTCCCCAAAAGGCTGGTCTCAGAAGCTCAAAAAGAGTCCTAAATTTCTGCTCAATCACAGATTCCCAAGGGCCAGTACCAAGGACAATATAACAGCAGAACTTGGCTTGTCTTTTGTCCAGCTCTCTCTCCACTCACTTTTCTATTTTAATCGCCATTAAATTTACCAGTCCTATATTTTAAGGACAGAGAAACAGACAAGTTAATCCAAGTTAGTGAGGGCCCTTGCATAAGACATGGAGATCAAACCAGGTCTCTCCTGGCTCTCTGAGTGGGCAGGGACGAGGTAAGAACACAACAGCAGAGGAGTCAGGCGCAAATGCTGGCCACGTTTGGACGATTAAAGCGATTACCCATGTTTCAATGTTTCTATTTTCACATAATCATCAACAGCCATGTTATTTCTTTGAAACAAACAAACAAACAAACAAAACCAGATAAAGAAACCACCCAACCCTGTTTTAAAAAAGAGTCTATACAGTTTTAAGGAAAAAAAAGGAGAGAGAAAGGGAGGGGATGCCAGGAAGGCGGTCAGAAGACGCTTCCTTGAGGAGGGCTATCAGGACCTGCATTTCCCTTTCTCCTGTTTTAAGTCCCAGATGATTTCCATCCAAGTCTCCCTCGTCTGTATAACCACGTGCCACCCTCCTCAGGGAGTGAAGTGGCTTCCCAGGGACTGGGATGGGGACAGAGCCCCGCACTGGGGCAGGATGAGTGATGGGAGTGCTCTCTCCGCTTGCTCTCGAGATAAGGTGCCGCTCTCCCTGGGAGACACAGGCAGATATATATCAGGGCCCTAACCAACAGAGATAAATGTCGTAACTCCAGCCTCTGTCCATAAACATGCAGCGGCAGGAACAGCCTTCAAGAGCCCACTGTGCCCAGGGTTTAGTGGGTTTCCTTACTCGCTCAGGTGCTGAAAAGTGCTTTTAGGAGGTGGTAAACAGGCACATTATGCAAACTCAGGGACTACCAAAGTAAACAATGCATGCTCGTTACGTGGATGTTGCCCACAGGGAGAGGCTCTACTGAGCGGAGCGGCGGCTCTGGGGCCAGTGTCCTTCACACCAGTGCCAGCTGTGGAGGCAGGGTCAGAGATCCTCCACCTGCACAAGCCCACTGCAGGTACAGGGAGGCTCGTTCTGATCAAGCCGAGAGTCTGAACAGGAGACCATGATGCCTCTTCTCTGACTC